GCGTCGGCGGCTAGGCGACAAGAGAGAATAGTTGAGAGTTGAGAAGTCAAAAGCTATTGTGGTCGCGGCGATGAGGATATACCAGACCCTTCCTATTATTCATCACATGTGCAGCGGCCTGGCCTAGGGGCAGACAGAGTGCCGCCTAGGTAGCGCTATACTCCAAGGCACCCAGGTTATTGTGTACTAACAGCAGCTAGCTCACAGCCACCGCCGGCTCCAGAAGCACCTCCCTCCCGCTGCAGAGTGTCTTGACCTGCGCCGACTTTCTCGAACCGCGAACCGCGCCGGATGAAGGTCACCTGGTCGGATGAGCTCGAGTGGCTCCGGCAATGTGTGTCCATCAACTCCGTCCGGGCCACTGAGCGGTGCTGCCATTGGACGGGGCTGCCCCCCTCTGTGACTCCCTGTGACTCCCCTGTGGCCCCAGTGGCCCGAAATGGCTCCCAGGTCCCGCCCAGTTGTATCTCTCAAATATCTCGCACGTGAGCACTCCAGATTTTCTTGCCCTTCAGACGCTCATGCGTCCGGTCTGTTTTGTTTCGCCGCAATCCATCGGTCTGCTCCAGCATGTGCTTGTTGACCGGCATCCTTGGCGACTTCCCAATTATCCACGCATTCCGCCATCAGCTCTCAATGTCACCGGGCCGTCTCCGGAATCTTATCGAGATTTGAACCATCCGAACCCCCCCCAAACCCCCGCCACAAGCTCCATGACGATAGTCAATCACACCCTGTCTCCCTTCCTACTATTTTTTATACGCCCGTATGTGTACAAAACTTGTGTAGTATGTCTTGCACTCGTACCCCCCCTTTTGCAGACACCAATATGCATCATCTTGGCCCTCAAGGGTGCGGCTCTCCATCTCACTACGTCAGCTGAGCTCTATAGATCAATTGTGCCCTGCTAGTTAAGTCGAGTTGAGACCACACACATCGTGTTGCCCCAGCTCGTGTCAATACCATGGCCTAGGCATCAACTTTCGTTATCTACCGAGCAATGAGCAACACACATGGCTGCAACCAAGCTCCTAGCGGCGTTTTTCAAGTCCTAATTGGTCAGATGTCGGTGACAAAACACACGTATCTATACTTAAAATAATAGCTGTGCACGTCTAAGCCTGAACGCTACGACTCCATCATCCACTGTACCTATGCAAAACGATCTTGATATTCAAAAGCTCCAGCCTTGGCTTTGGGATTTTTGACATCGCACCCTTAGCCGTCTCGTGAATGCCTGTTTGTTTTTGAGGCTCATCCTCTACTTGAAGTACGGTGTTGTTATGACTAGCGAATCAAGTTTGTTGCTCGTGTCATCTGAACGAACCACACACTCCGTAACGATAGCTCCGGGATTCTTCCAAATCAAACCTGACGTGCTGATTCAATTAGAAATTTAGCTCTACCACACTTCAGGCAGGCAATCCAGTCACGTAGAAACCAAATTCAAGTTGGTGACAGCATCACACGTCTCGCGATGTGCGAACCCGCCCACTTACATAAGCGCACGAAGCCTTGCTCCTCCTCCTCTGTGAAATGTGCACCGATTTTGCCCCGCCAAAGAACGAAAACCCCACTGCCACGAACTACATGCCATCACGAGAATCATACACAGCCTTGTAAAAGTGCGGCATCACCCGCATCAGGGCCGCAGCAACTCTTCCAATCTCGAGGCTGTCTCCGGCGGCGTTCGAATTGCGTAGGGATATCATGGATATCACCAGTTACGTGGTGCAGGGTCGAGACCAAGCCTTGCTCTACGGCGACTACTCTACCTATCATGGTCAACTGGCCAAACGCCTCCTAAGCTCTCGCAAGAAGCTGGGTATTGTCACCAAGAATCGTGGCAAGTTTCAGAAGAAGGAAGACATTGCGGCTGAGGATGTCTCTTCCAACAACGAGTGAGTACAGGGTGTTGATGCGTCAGTCACATTTAGATAGGAACGGCTAACCAGAGAAACCAGGTATGTCCATCTGCTTCTTCTGACGAGCGAGCGAGCCTGGGCACAGGCAATGAGCTTCAAAGCTGTAAACTCTGCCACACAAAAGGATATCACTGGAAGAACCAAATCACACATTGTCTCCCGACTCAATAAGGCCTCCCGTGCCGCGCAGCGCCTCGTTGAGCTTCTTTCAGACCCGGCTTCTGGCGCCTCAACCAACGACGTCCTGGAGGCGAAATCGTATGCTGCCTTGATCCGTGGCGCCATGCTATTCGAGAGGCACGACTGGGAGCTTTGCCTTCAGAGTTATGCTCTTTCCCGCGTCATCTACAGTGCGCTGGCAAGCGCTGGCAAAAGCGACCTCTTCAAGGATCTCTTATCTGAGACCATTGACCCTTCTATCCGATATGCCGCCTACCGACTGAAGACGCCACGGACAGTTCCTATTCCAACGATTGCCAAAAAGTCATTTCCCCGATCAGATGATGCCCTTGTCAAGGAAATCAATCGTCTGGATCCAAGCATCCTCGCTGAAGGCGACGATGCCACCAAGCTGGGAAATGCTGCTGAGAATGCACCTAGGACCATCACATGGCGCTCACGACAAGTTCAAATTGAAGACGCTCAGATATCAATGGCATGGGCCTCTGTTGAAACTGCGAAAACTAACCTTACCCGCAACTTGGCGCAATCGCAAGACAAGCAGCCCTATGAAATTGCGGCCCAGTACGATGAAATCCTCATGGCAACACAGGACGCCGTCGACGCTACCAAGCAGGCCATCGATGAGCTCAAGGCAGAGGGTGTACCCCAGAGCGACCCGCGTATGCAGCGACTGCAGATCACTCGCACTGCCGTCAACTACGAAATGATTAGTTGGCGAATCGGCCGCAACAGAGTTTTGACCGGCCTCGACGACGGCGGTCCCGAGGATTACAATGCCTCCAGAAGAAGAAAAGTCAAGAACCGAAAGGACACCGAAGCCGTGGAACAAAAGAAACAGCGAGAACTGCCCCCCAGCAAGAAGCTGACCAAGCTGAGGGAGAAGGTTGCCCTGTATGATGGTACACTGCAAAACGTCCAGTCAATCAAGGAGCTTCCCGGTGTGGCCGCCGACGAGGCCCTCGCGACCAAGCTCAACGGCTACGAAAAATACTTTGGATCGCTCAAGTAAGTCCAAGTCACCTTTTCCAAAACACCACGCCCGGATCAACCCACTGACTCTTGATGATGTTAAAGATGTCTCTCCATTGCGCGATCCCACGCCATCACCAACAACTCCACCAACGCCCTAGCCCTCATCAACCAGGCCCACTCCCTCATTCAAGAAGCTTCCTCCAACCTATCCCAAGGTGACGACGGTATCAACCAACAGCAAACCACCCCGGTGAGTATCGACGTCACTGCTGAGGCCGTCTCCTTCCTCAGCAGTCTCCTCAACGGCGAGCTCCAACGCTACCGTGCCATCGTCCACATGCACAATCTCCGCGACGCCGAGCGCGAAGCTGCCAAGGGCGACTTCGACTCCCCGCTCATCTCCAAGCTGCACACCTACCCCCGGCGCGTCAACCTTCGCAACATAGTCGAGTTCCCGCCCAAAATGGAACTCATCCCCATGAAGCCAATCTTCCTCGACGTCGCCTGGAATTACATTGACTACCCGGGTAAGACACCCGCGCCAACGGCTACGCCTGGACCAAGCAGTGTTGCAACGAAGGAACAGCCCAAGAAGAAGGGATGGTTCGGCTTTGGACGGTAAGGGAAAAAAAAAATTACAAACTTTAGCATTCACGAATAGAGAGCAACAATTATCCTTCCTCACTTCCGGTAGGGATATCAAAAGTAATAAAAAGGCTCCTGACTTGGTCAAGTCCGCGAAAATCTCCGATGTCATTCATCTTGATGTCTCACGTCCATCCCCACGTCGACAACAACCGTATCCAAAATGTCCCGTTTCACATACTCGTATGGAATGAAGGAAGAGTACAAAAACAATGTCATTTCACCCTCCCCTCCTCCCGCCTGTCCAAGCCACACACTGCGTAGCTGTCATCGTCCCGCGCCGTTCCCCGTGCTTCCCCAGATCCTCGTCTCCCAGCCCGCCAGATGCAAATATGACTTTGCCTCAGCAGTTGCCAGGACCGGGAGCAGACCCCGTCGCTCACGCCGTCGCCGCAAGTCCAATACCGCAAACCATCTTTCTCGTCCTGTTTTGCCTGTTCATCGCCATCTTCATCCGCATAACACACTTTACGCTTTGTGAAGACCACGAATATGCCGTCACTCGCGGCCTTCGCTGCCAGCATCGACAGGGGCATGGACCATCTTCTTCTGGCCCAAATCGCGAAGTGACTGCCGGCTGGACCTCTGTTGGCTTCGATGCACTTGGTTCCCCTCGATGCAGTTTATATATGCCCAACCCGGTATCTGCGAACAATGCACATGGCGATGGAATCAGTGCGCCGCTGCTAGCTCGCCAAGAATACGAGGAACACATCGAGTCGGTGGAAATGGATTCAGTTGCGGTCAAGGCTGAAGAGGACTGGGAAGACTGTTCGCCCCTGCATGGGTCCAACAATTTGAATACACCGTAGAGTTGGACAGCATAAACAGCGATGGAAGAATGCTTGAGCTAGCTGCTCTTTACATCACGAGACACGCACGCATAAACAATTGAAATCAGACTGATGGGAATTGGCCAGGAATTCAGAGGAGGGATGTGTTATTATCATCTAGTTAAACAGTAAATTGTACATGAGCCAATCCAAACGCAAGCCCCCTTGGATCCATGCTTTCGTCTCATAAACAACCAGAGATCTCTCGAAGAGGTTTTGATGCTCTAACGCCTAAATTTCCGCCAACCATGGTATTAAATGACATGGGCAAATCAGTTTGTGTAAAAGTATAGTAGCTGAGGCGGGGGATATGAGTACAATGAAATACAGGAAGAGAAAAAAGACATCTATGCCACACCCCACGCTACACGAATATTCGAACAAATCCCTTTGCGTTTTGATTTAGAAATTCATGAAAACAACAAGTCAAGAGACTGGCCGCTTATGGCTTGTTCTCGTCCTTCTTCTCACCCTCGCCCTGCTGCTCACCAGAAGCCTGCTCGCCGGAACCGGCCTCGTTACGGGCCTTGTGCATCTTGTCGAAGAGATTCAAGCTAGCCATCTGAAGCTCGTCGGTCTTCTCCTTGATCTCCTCAGCGGTGGCAGTGCCCTCACCAGACTGGCTCTTGGCAACGAACTCACGGAGGGCAGCAATCTTGTCCTTAATGCCGTCAGCCTCGGTCTTGTCGAGCTTGTCAGCGTACTCGTTCAGGGCACGCTCGGTGTCGTTGAGAACGCTATCGGCACGGTTGGCGGCCTCAATAGCAGCCTTGCGGCCCTTGTCAGCCTCGGCATACTTCTCAGAGTCCTCAACCATCTGCTGGATCTCGCTTTCGGAGAGACCGGAGCCAGATGCGATGGTGATGGACTGATCCTTGTTCGTGGACTTGTCCTTGGCGTGGACGTGAACAATAGAGTCAGCGTCGATGTCGAAGGTGACCTCAATCTGAGGAACACCACGGTGAGCAGGGGGGATTCCGACAAGCTGGAAGTTACCCAGCAGCTTGTTGTCACGGACAAGCTCTCGCTCACCCTGGTAGACCTTGATCTCAACGGCAGTCTGAAAGTCGGCGGCAGTAGAGAAAACCTGGGACTTCTTGGTTGGGATGGTGGTGTTGCGGTTAATCAAACGAGTGAAGACACCGCCCAATGTCTCGATACCAAGGGACAAGGGAGTAACATCGAGCAGCAAGAGGTCCTTGACTTCGCCAGAGAGAACGGCACCCTGAATAGCAGCACCAATGGCGACAGCCTCATCAGGGTTGACAGACTTGGCGGGATCGCGGCCGAAAATGCTCTTGACGGACTCAGCGACCTTGGGCATACGGGTCATACCTCCGACAAGGATGACCTCCTGAATTTCCTTGGCCTGGAGGCCAGCATCCTTCAGAGCCTTGCGGACAGGCTCAATGGTGCGGGTGATGAGGGGGTCCACCATCTTCTCAAGCTGAGCACGGCTAAGCTTCATGTTGATGTGCTTGGGGCCGGATGAGTCGGCGGTGATGAAAGGCAGGTTGATATCAGTCTGGAGGGAAGAGGAGAGCTCGATCTTGGCTTTCTCAGCAGCCTCGCGAATACGCTGGATAGCCATGCGGTCACTGGACAGGTCAATGCCAGAAGTCTTCTTGAAGTCTGCGACCATGTGTCGAACAAGGTGGATATCGAAATCCTCACCACCGAGGTGTGTGTCACCATTGGTTGACTTGACCTCAAAAACACCGTTCTGGATCTCCAAGATGGAGATATCGAAGGTACCACCTCCAAGATCATAGACAGCAACGACCCTGTCGGCCTCCTTCTCCAGACCGTAGGCAAGAGCAGCAGCAGTGGGCTCGTTAACAACACGGAGAACATTGAGGCCAGCAATCTGGCCAGCATCCTTGGTGCTCTGGCGCTGAGCGTCGTTAAAGTAGGCAGGAACGGTGACAACAGCGTTCTTGACGGGCTTAGAGAGGTAGGCCTCGGCCGTCTCCTTCATCTTGTTCAGGACAAAACCACCAATCTGAGAAGGAGAGTAATTCTGGCCACGGGCAGAAACCCAAGCGTCACCATTGCTGTGCTGAACGATCTTGTAGGGAACCTCCTTGATATCACGCTGCACCTCAGCGTCGGTGAACTTGCGTCCTATTAATCGCTTGGTGGCGAAAAGAGTGTTCTCTGGGTTGACGACGGCCTGTCGCTTGGCGGCGACACCGACAAGTCGCTCACCATCTTCAGCAAAAGCAACTACTGAAGGAGTGGTGCGAGCGCCTTCCGAGTTCTCAATGATGCGAGGAACCTTGCCTTCCATGATGGCAACGGCCGAGTTGGTGGTACCCAAATCGATACCGATGACGGATCCCTGGACTTTCTCGCCCTCGCCAGCAGCAGTAGACTCATAGCGAGCAAATCTGGGGGCCAGCGGCCTGGCAAAGGCAGCTGAGCGAGCAGTGATAGGGGCAGCTCGGGGAAGCTATCAGGAGATGTCAAAGTTAGAATCGTTAATCAGAGACATGGCAACAGGTAGGGGAGCTTGTTTTGCAAATTAGGAAGCTACTCACAGCTCGAGAGAGACGCGAAGCCAACATCTTGGATATGATGATGGAGGGTATAATATTACAATGAATGAAGGGAAAGATGACGGCGCGCTCCACAGATGGAGAGGTGATGAAGAGGAAGAAGGAAGAGGAAGAGTGTTCTGAGTGGATTGTATGAGTTTATTGGAAGGGGAGGAAAGCGAATTTTTTTGGCCCCGAAAAAATGGCTAGTCCAGGCCATTGGCTGTCAATAGAAGCCGACGGAAGGAGGCAAGAAGAAGAAGGTCTCCACAGTGGGTGCCGGCTTGCGAGCGGATTAACTTTGGTCCGCGACGGAGAGCTGCTGTAGTTTTCCTCGGCACATGAGTTTATTGCGGTGGTTCCAGCAATGCAATGACTTCGGAGGTCCTAGTGCTGGGAATAGGGAGTATGGTGGGCCTTTGGAATCCGGGGTGCAACTGAAGCTGCTATGCCAGGCCGTGAGCCGGCTTTTGCGGCCTTTCCGAGGCTCGACCCGGAGATGTGATCCTAATAACTCGACAACTCGCGCTACTGTAAAGCCACAGCTAGAATCATGCGCTGAATTTATGCCACATGTACATCCATCCTGCAGCTTGATTTTCTCTTGAATGAAGAAACTTGGACCCAAGCCTCGACGCCGATGTGAGCCCCACCTTCGCAGAACTTTAATGATGCAGCAAGAAGACTGCCGTCACTGCTCGTGACCAATGTATGTAGCCCTGAGTGTGTGTGTACCTACATACAAGGTACTCGGTAGATCTGCAAGACGGGCGAAACAAGCACTGTGATGTTTTGAGTCCCTCTCGTGTCAGATAAGCGTAGTTGACGTTTGGGCAAGTCAGGGCAGCAGCGTCGCGTGCTCAAGTGCCTTCATGGTGCCGAAACTCCCTGAATAGGTAGGTGGCCATTGGTGGCTTGACAAGCTCTTTGGGTGTTGGCTAACGAAACATGGCCAGGGTCTGAGTTTGAAGATGTGATTCTGAGATAGGAAGGTGAAGCAATCATATATCACACTTTACAGAGTACGAAGTGCCATTGAACCAGACCAAGTTGAGCAAAGACCTGAGGGGGAAAAGCATCATCAACGCTTGGTTGGGTACTGCTGGCAGTCTTATTCCAGTGGCCATTCGCCTCGGCACTACAGACAAGGACAATTACCCCATCGTCGCCGATCAGCGTCATTGTCATATTTTGGGACATGCCTGACGCTAATTTTAGTGCTGCCTCACCAGTTGACCAGATAACTACCAGACTACATATGTCTGGTACTTTTAACTCGTCGTGTAGGTACGGTGTGATGGTTGGCAATTTCGCTTCCATACCCAGCAAGTCGGTCTGCGAGCCCCGGTCTTCCATTTCTCCGCAGGTCGCGTGGCTTGCAGCTCTGGTTCTGGCTTCGAATGCTGTTTTAAAATTGTCCAGACTGCATCTCTGTGGTGTTTGTTAGGTGCATGTGCTACCATGTATTTACGGAGCATATGCTCAGCGCAAGTACCCAGGTACTTCATACTTACCCAGTCAGTCGACACCAGACCAGACGTCATCCACCAGGCTGACTGACCAGCCAGGCTGGCTCTGCCCAGCTCAGTGGGTACCAGACACACCGGGCACTGGGTGGACATGTGCTTTGTGCACTCACTGGACAGAGCAACTGCTTGTGCCCAGGTACTCCGTAATTGAGCCTGGTGCTCCATGTTCAATGTCTGCCAGAGGTCTTCATTATCCCACACGCCACGCCCGCCGCAACCAAGAAGCTGGCCCATCCCAAACGTCTGCATCACGTAACCGCCTTGACCGACGGAAACCCACATCCTCTCTCAAACTCTGTATCCGTCTCTGCACTTCACCGACCCAGCCCTACATCAATTATCCCGGACCATCAGCCTCGACGACACTCGACCCTCTGCGCCCCTTCTCTCGCTGCCGCCTACTTCGCATGCCGCCTACCCAGCTTCCAACACTGGCTCTCTCACACGCCTCTCGGCTGGCGATACTCCATCGTACATCAGGCCGGGCATCAGTGGGCCGTCAACATCCCATCCGCGGCAGTTGGCCGTTGCATGTCCCAGTCCCAAAGCTTAGGTGGCAGCTCCAGTGGCCTTCGACAAACATTTGCAGACATTCTTTGCCTACTTAGGTCCCTGGCGGTAGTAGCGTCTACCATGGCCAACAATGACGACGGCCTGTTCGTGATTCTCTACACCCCTCTTGCCACCTGTGGCTGTCCTCGCCCTGCTCTTCCGCGCGTCAAAGATTCTTCCAAGTACACTCGTCTAACGTCATGGGCAACTATAGGTGCTACCCGACCGAGGCCATAATGTCCAAAAATGGACGTAAGCGTTATAGCATTGGTGTCCGTTCTCAGTACGTATTCATGTCCTTCAAGGTCCACACCGTAGCTCACCAATTTCCGCCTATAGACATTGGCAACTCCGGTCGTTGATCAGCGCGGAAAAGCAAAATATTGTGTACTTTCCCGGAGGAAATGGCAGCAACCATGTCCAGCGACTCAACACATTTACCAAAGAATGCGAAACCATCAAGCTCCTTACCTTTGCGCCGCGATGCCTAGTAGCCGAGAATGGATGGTTATGCTGTGGAAGCGAGAATGGCGAGTTTGTCGCCATTAAACTCGAAGATGCAATTGAAAGCAATAGGCAGCCGTTGCTGGGATTGCATTTGGATGCCGAAACGAGACACCAACTGAACCTTGGAGGAGCCAGCCGTGACGATCCCCTACTTGCTCTTCTTGCCCACGCACGCCGTTCAAGCAAGAGCTTGATCGCCAAGAGCATGAAACTTGCCAAGGACCGAGTGAACTGCGTCACTCTGTGGTTCCCTCCGGCATTGACACCTCACGAAGCTGGATCTTATACCGAGCCTGTCGCTGTTCTGGCCAACAACGACCGCACCGTTGTTCTTGTTAGTTTACGCGAATTCGATCAAAACGAGAAAATAGAACCCCTCGATGTCGTAACATATCCCGATTTCGTCAACCGAGCAATACTGTCCCCTGACGGTCGAATGCTAATTGCGATTCTTGATGATCCGTACCTCTACGTCCATGAACGGATCGAAACAGAAGGAGGCATCTCAACACCTCCAGCTAGCGAAGATGGCGGATATCGATGGGAACAGAGACAAAGATTTCTACTCAAAAGTCAAAGAAAAGATGATAGGTCGGACAGCCGGGGAAGTTTTGCGGCATGCTTCTCGCCATCGGGTGCTTACCTAGCAATCGGAACACAGCATGGCACAATTTCTATCTTTGACGCTACTCTCCTCCTCGACCCTTCTGCGGACCCTCTCATCACCACCTTCAAATCATCTCGCCCAGAAAGTGGTCCTGGAGCTATTCGAGACATGGCATTCTGCCCTGGTCCTTTTGATATTCTCGCCTGGACAGAAGATAAAGGCCATATTGGTTTCGCTGATATGCGAAGCAATTTCATCATTCGGCAGATAGTTGATATCAATGTTGAGGCTGACTTTCGACATATCGACATACTCGATCGAAACACAATCGACCCCCGGCTTCTGGACGGCAACTCGGACAGGAGGTCCAATCGATCCCCCCCTTCGGGAAGTACACGTACACGTCGACAGGGCGAAGCATTGGAGACTTTGAACCAGCCTCTCACACCCAATGAAACCGTTGTCCTAGAGGCGATTCAAGGTGATCGAAGACGACGTGAACGAGCGGCCTTAAGAAGCGCCGAAGAACGAGCTCGTGATGGTGGGACGTCAGATTTAGCCCTGACCTACCTGTCAAGTTTACGGCCGTCAGCCGCTGATGGCGAATCTCCCAGACCCAGACAGCGCAGCAGTAGTGTGGGCCGGGCAATGGGCGATATTCTTGGCTCCTACCGAGAGCAGAGAGAGCGTCAACAGGAGCGCCTTCGCAATGCCAGGCAGCTCACTCGTGAAGGTTCTGATGGTCAACAACCTCAATCAGCATCAACAAGACGGACAGAACAAAGATGGGTGGACAGAGTCGAGGAAACGGTAGCAGCCATGCGGGATCAGAGAGAAAGACAAGATTCGTCCTATCTGAATGTGCTTGAATTTTTGCAGGCCAGAGAGCGCCCTTCAAATGACACGGACAATGAAGACTCGTCACTCCTCGTACCTCTAGTCAACCAAGTTGTCAATCGCTGGGAAGAGAGCGCGATCCGAGGAACTCTAGCGACTGATCATGGAGTTTTCGAGGTGCCTCCGTCCCCAGACAATACCGCAGGTTTAGCCTGGACCGAAGACGGTCGTACCTTGTGAGTTGTAGATTCTTTTTTTAATATGTAGCGTGGATGTCTAACAGCTAATGTCGTGCTTAGGTTTGTCGGCGCTCAAACTGGCATCTATGAACTGCACATCAACGTCCAGGGCAGAAAATTCTGTCCAAGCATCACGATGAGTTGAGGTGAGAAAGGTTGCGACAGTCACCGCACTGATGGATGAAAAGTGAGCACTGAAGGCTCAAGATTTTGAGAGTCTCGATAACAGTTGGGCACTTGGGGTGTTTAAAAGGCGTTTTATTTTCATGAGAAGCGATGTGATCGCCGGAGCACTATGAGGCGTTGTTGGTCAACTTGAATATTTTTTTCTTTCTTTTTGGGTCACGGGCCCTTGCAAATATGATGCCAAGTTTGAGTTTGGTGAAATGGACAAGGAAAGGCCCGGGCATGCATAGGTGGAAATAATTCTGAATTTTCACATGGAATCCCTGGGAGGAGCATACGGAAAACACATTCGCTTATGGAGTTTTTCTTTTCCCAGCTGTTTTCTCAACACTGTTTGCGGCTCTTTTGGTCCGTGGGCTAGTTTGCACGGCACTTGAATAGTATACGACTACTGCTCTAATGAGTCGCTCTGCGAGTTTGAACTCTGGATCTCTGTTGGCATCTGCTTTCGGTTTTCGGCCTCTCTTTCTTTTTTAATCTGGTGGACTATGGTCAAATTCTTTTCTGTATGATATCCCAGCTTTTTGCATGAATGAATCTATCATTTCTATGAAATTTATTCTGCGGTCCTCTTGACATGAGTCCCCTGATATTCTGCTCCGCAAGAGCAGCACATTTCGTCATGACACTTTTCTTCCATAAAACAACTCTCCGACCCTCTCCCCAATGGCCAGGCTACTTGTCAAGCCGGGACTCTCAATGCCCAGGCAATTCACCCACCCATGATAGCCGTCCTCCATCCTCACCACAAAGTCGTTGAAGTTCTTGCCGGCCTGCCCAGCCCCCTTGTAGCTCAACTTGGGCCTAATCCCTGCGTAGTCAGGCTCCAAACACGTCTCATCGACACCGGGCAAGTACAGCTTGATCTCGTGCACCGCCTGCTCCAGCCTCTCTCTCCCAACGGCCAGGTTGTCCGGCGAGTCGACCCATTCAATGTCCGGGCCGAAGCGTATCCTCCCGCCCATGTCGAGCGTCAAGTGCGTGCCCAGCCCCGCGGCGCCCGGGTTCGGGGCGGGATAGACCAGCCTCGAGACACGGGGCCGCGACGCCGAGTACGAAAAGTAGTTGCCCTTTGCAAAGTACAGCCTCTTCCGCAGGGCCGCGGGGACGACCATGTTGTACACGGCGACGCCCCCCAGGCCGGCGGCGTTGACGAGCGTCTCGGCCGTGACGCTCGACGCCTCGCCCGTCAACGAGTCCCGGACGTCGATCCGCCACCCCCGGCTGCCGGGCGAGGCCGCCCCCAGCGGCGCGACCCCGGCGACGGTCGAGTTGAGCGCGC